ACCTCTCCAGTGAGTCGGACCCCCCTCTGGGGTCCACAGCCCTGTTCTCCACTCCTGTGCAGTGTTTGTGGAGCGTGGATTTATGGGTGAATGTATTCCTAGGCATCTCCACATCCCTCTGGTCACCCACCGAGGACAAGAGTCCACCACGGACTGAGGGGGCCTCCGCCGGAACATGAGGTCAAAAATCGGCTTCTGGTGACATTCTACATCCTGTGACATCTGACCCATGGCAGGTAGCTTCCAGCAGAATAGTATGTAGGAGATGCAGGCAAAGAGTCGACAAGGTTCTTTTCTAATCCATTTTTTCTTGTGCTAAGATAGACATAACAGAATTTACCCTCTTAACCTTTGGCTTTGGGTTTGTGGCAGGGGTGTCTGGCTGTGTGGCCCAGGATGGCTTCAAACTCCTGGGCTCAGGCCGTCCTCCTGCCTCGGCCTCCGGAGTAGCCGGGACTGTCACCCAAACTCAGGCTCCGGGGGCAGAGCTGTAGGGATGAGCCCAGATCTGGGAGGAGCTTAGGCACAATGGCTTCCTGGGGACTTCTGCTCAAGCCAGAGGGGACACGGCACAAGGGCCCAGAGAGCCCCGGCTGACAGCAACCAGCGACAAAGCGGGGCGGCTTTAAGGGCATCTCAGGGCTTGGCAGGAACTCAATCCCTTGATGTCACCCCGTGCAGAGGCAGGACCTGGGTTGTGCCTGTGCTCTTTGTCACCTGTCTCCATGCCGCGAGTGGTCGGCTGTGCATTGGTTATGCTAATAAGGTGAACGTCACCGTGGCTTGCTTAGTGACCTCTACATAAGCATTTGCCACCTGCCTCCTGGCATCGGCCCTTATCATCCGGGAAAGTCTCTGGCCTTGTTTTTAGCAGAACAGTGGCGACCCCACGGGGGTCCCAGGTGGCATCCCGCTGACCACACAGAATGGGAAGCTGCGCTGGGCTCCCGGCTGCCCCCTCCTGGGCTCCCTCCCTCCCACCACCTTGCAGACTGCTCTCTTAGCTCCGGATTCTCTGGAGTGGCTGCTAACCCCATAAGACTGAGTGCTGGCTGTCTGCTCTCTGTCCCCTGAGGGGGTTGGTCCCTCAGTCCTCAGAGGCCCTGCTTTCCGTGGGGGTCCCTGATTATCAGGCGGGCGCCCCTCTTCACCATTTTCAATTGTACAGTTCAGGAGCAGCAAGTGCCTTCATCTCCCCCTGAGACCCACGCAAAGCTGAAAGTCCAGATCCATTAAAAGACAACTCCTCCCTCGCCCCTCCCCGCCCCGGCACCTGCCGCTCTGCTTCCCGTCTCTATGAATTCTACAGCTCTAGCTACTCGCTATAACTGGAACCCTACAGCATCTGTCTTTTTGTGACTGTGTCCTTAAGGTTCATTCATGTTGTAGCATGTGTCTGGATTTCCTTCCTCTTCGGGGCTGAGTAATATTCCACGGAGTGTAGGTACCGCTGTGTTCATCCTGTCATCTGCTGACGGACACGGGTTGCGTCTGCACGTTGGCTGTTGTGAGGAAGGCTGCGGTGTCCCCCGCTTCCAGTTCTTCTGGGTTCACGCCTGGAAGTGGGACGGCGGGGTCACCTGGCTGTGGGGCGTGGCCTTCTCTGCGGCAGCACCACCCCGACTTCCACCTTTCACATTCCCCGGGCAACGCACGAGGCTCCTACTCCTCCGTCCTCCCAGCTGCCTGTTTTCTGAGGTGCTTTGTGGGGGTTCCTTTGTTTGATAGCAGCCCCTGCGAGGCGTGGAGCTGCCAAGTCCTTTTAATTCGGGTGTCGTAGGACCTTTTCCCTGACCCGCCCACACCGCCGCAGGACAGTGGGGCCCGAGGCCCTGGATCCCTCCGCCTCCCTCCTCCCTCCCGCCCCAGGTTCTGCGTGTCGCCTTCCAAGCGCAGCAGAGGCCGCCTGGCAGAGGTGGACCCCCGAAGTAGAGAAAGGGCGGCCAGGCTCATCACCCCGAGGAGGGACCCGCGGGCTGTCCACCACCTTCCCCGTCCGCCCTCGGTGTCACCTCATAACTCACCTCGGAGCTGTGCAAGGGCCCGGGGCCCTCAGCCCCAGGAGAGGAACGTTCTGGACTCTCCTGGTCTTGTCCTGCCTGTCTCTTACCCAGCCGCCCAGTGAGCCTCGGGCCCTCTGCTGTGGCATCTTGTCACCCTTTCCTCGGTCCCACATTTAGAAGGGGTTCTTGTTAAAAACCCAAATCAGATGGCGCAGTGGCCTATGCCTGTCATCCCAGCAGCTCAGGAGGCTGAGGCAGGAGGATCGCTAGTTCAAAGCCAGCCTCAGCAAAAGCGAGGCTCTAAGCAACTCAGTGAGGCCCTGTTTCTAAATAAAATACAAAATAGGGCTGGGGATGGGGCTCAGTGGTCGAGTGCCCCTGAGTTCAGTCCCTGGTACTCGCGACACACAAAAATGAACCCTCAAATCACCTGGCACAGGGTGGCACCTCTAATCCCAGCTACTGGGGAGGCTGGGGGGAGAGGCAGGCTGGGGAGAGAGGCTGGCCCTACCTCAGCCCAGGCAGGAACCCAGACGGCAAGATCTTCTTACCCCACAAGGAGAAGGGCCCCAGGAGCGGCTGCTGACCAGCGTCTGGGACCCGGGTTCCTTCCTTAGCCAAAGGTGCTGTCCATGTGGCTGGCCTCGTGCCTGGCAGAGAGTCCAGAGGCTCCTCGGGCTGAGCATCCACAGGGAGGAAGCAGGTCCCAAGGTGAGCTGTCCCCCTTCTGCAGCTAGAGTTGTCCCATCCCACGGCAGCTGGGGAGCTGTACTGAGGTGGCAGTTCTCCTGGGCTGAGCATAGCTCTGAGGACAAGGTGACCTGGGGACGAGGTGGCCCTGGGCAAAGGGCACAAGGCCTGGCCCCCACGCCTTAGGCTGCCACTGAAGCTGCCCACGAGTCAGCACTTGCTGGTCTTGTCCTGCTGCCCCTGACCTTGGAGGGCTGAGACTCCAGAGGCAGGAAGTGGTCACCTCTGTCCTCACCACAGGAAGTCCCATCCACACGTCCAGCCTGGTGTCACCTCCCACCTCCGACAAGCTCCCCCAGCTGCCGTCTGAAGCCCACACTGGACAGCCAGTGTGGTCCCAGGAAGGGGCTGGCGGGGTGCCAGGAGGCCTGCGTCTGGGCTCCAGGGCACGGTGGCCTTCCTACCCTCTTCCGGTCGCAGAGGCCACAGGGCAGCGCGTCACATCCGGCCTTGTCTCTTGCCTCCCTCTGGAGCCCAGCTGGAGGATCCAGGGCCATCTCCCTGTGTGAGGCCAGCCGAGGAGGACAGGGGTCCTGTCTGTACCCTTGGTGCCCCTGGCCATGTCATGTGACATGTGCAGGTCCCAGGGCTTAGGATGTGGTCGGTGCTGGTGGAGGGGACAGTATCTGCCTGTCACGGGACAGCAGCACTTTACCCTGTGGCAGGAGGAGGGCCAGATGGGACCCACTGTGCCTGAGCGCGTCCCGTGGCTGCTGCTGTCCGGCTGCTGGAGTGGACCTGGTTATGGACGGGGCGGTGGAGCCGCGGCCCTGGGACCCCGCGTGTCGTCTAGTTCCCCGCCAGCTCCCCAGAACCTTGCTCAGCTGAGCCCTGTCCTCTCCTCCGTGACCTCCTCCTGGCACCCGTGTCACCCTGGCCCGCACAGAGCCTGCGCCCTGCACCCTGGACGTTCTGGCCTGGACTCAGGCCAGCCTCGGCCCCGACCCCCACCCGCAGGGAGAAACTGAGGCCAGGCTCCAGCCGGGCTCCTCCCGGCTCCCACGGGGCCCCGGGGCTCAGGCGCTGTCCCCCAGCCTAGCACCCAGGAGTGGGGGCGCACGCCTGCCCTCAGCCCCTGCAGAGCACGTGGGGTGACACTCACTAGCTGTGACCAAAATGGCCTGGTCACTCGGTCCCCACCTCAACCAGCTGCTGGGACTGGGATGTCCTGTTGGGTTGGAGTCCAGGTGTTGGACTTCAGACAGCCCAGGGCCACCACAGGTGCCCGCTCCCTGCCACCTGCCCGGTGTCCACTGCAGTGGTGCCCTGTCCAGTGCTTCTCAACTCTGCCCATGGCCTGTGGTCCCCTGGGCTTCCCGACTTGAGAATCGTCACCTGCGTGGGGGAGGACTCTTGCCCTCCGCTGGCCGCAGGCCACCTCCTGGGTGTCTGAATCAGGGCAGCCCTGGCTGTGGAAGTCACTGGGTGGGCTCCTCTGAGCCTCGGTCGTCATCTCCAAAGTGGGTGCCGTAGCTGATCAGTCCCCCCAGGGGCACCAAGAGTGGACGAGCTCGCTGTGCCGGCCCAGCACAGGGCCACCTACCCAGCCGGGCTGCCGTCTGCCTCCCCCAGCGCATCTGCCCCAACCCAGGCACACGCTCAGGGGGCAGCTGGGAGAGCGCGGCTGAGCTCTGTCCCCTGCTCTCCACCGACAGGACCTCGCTCGTTCCCACCCACCATGCCCGGACCTCTGCTTTGGGGATTGGCGTCCACGATCCGTGTTGAGGGCAGGG